CATCCTTTTGATGAAGCCAAGTGCGCTTAGCTCTTAAGCTTCCGTAATTTTGCTGCCCGAAAATTCAGTCAGTTCTGCAATAAGATCGCACACATAATTATAGGCTTTAAACATCCCTGTTTCTACAAGTTAGGAAAACCTCGAGAGGAAGAATATGTTAGTGAAAGTAATTTGGTGATTTGCCCATAACCTGGAAGTTTGTATTATGGCGTAAGTGCTACCGTATTTACTTTGTATAAGGCAAAGCAGTCAAACTCACGATCTCCCCAGCCGACGGAAGGGAGAAATCAAGCCAACTTGATGCGACAAGAAAAGACTCAAAGCAAATGTGAGTGGCAATCAGTGGTCCGTCCAAGTTTTAGAACAGAGATGTACGTTTGAACTTGGTTGAAAGCTAATTGGCGCCAAAGGCGTCAACAGCAGGCAGCAAACTAACTCGCCGACTTAGTGTAGTTTAGTCCCAGATATTATCACTGCTGGAAATTAGCAGAAGGTTGATAGTGCAAAATGCCCCCACCGTACTTTAAAAGAATCAACTCTTAATTAAAATCTGAGAGACTCTTTTTATTGATGCTATAACAGTTAATCAGAAGGACATCTAAAGGGGGATATAACCCACTGACTATGTACAAGCCCTTTGGTGGTTACAAAAAGAAGTGGCCGTTGCCATATAATCTTCGCTCGCTTTAAGTTAAGGTAAGCAGACACTAGGGGAATACACTGTCACTAAACAAATACTTGTCCCTCTATCTATTCTCTAAATGAAAGCGAAGATTTACATCTTTCTAAACCAATCATTAAAGACTAACATATTGATTTTCTATGACAGAAATTTCCATCCTCTGCAGTTTACGGGTTAACTCGTTTCACTAACATATCGGCCAGTTTGATGGAATATTTTGAAATAGCCTGAGCCGCACTCCAGGTGCTAAGTAAAAAGTCGTTATAACTGAACTTTTACCGATCGGACTGACAGGGAAATAAATAGGCGTGTTTGAGAGCGGCTTTAGATTGCGCACCAGCACCATTACTGGACAGGTAAGTTAATGATCATTTTAAAATAAAATGCCCTCAAATAGCCCCGTGTGTACACCGTTCTTAAAAGCTACATTGCCAAAGGCATGGTTCCGGTTAGAGTTAGGGTTTAGATTGCGGTTTGGGTTTGCGTCTAGTGTTAATGTTAGGGTTAGGGTCTGTGGTAGTTTTAGGATTAAGTTCACTGTTAAGTTTGGGGTCAGCGTCAGGGTTATAATCACGTTAAGGATTAGATTTAATTTTGAGGTAAGGATTAGGTTTACTGCTAGGTTTGGGTACTGCTACCCCGAGTGTCCTCTCATCCAGGTATTTGGTTGGTGTTCTAGGCTTTCTTCAATCTTACGGCAGATTTGTCATACATCAGGTCGTCTTTTCCGCTTCAGCCTCGATTACTTTGATAGAAACGAACAGGCAAGTTCCAGGAAGTAGTTCAGATGACGAAAATGCGGTCGTTGGAACAAGAAATTTATTGGCCTGATGTTTCGGATTCTCACTCGAACACATCATCAAAGACAATTACAGATAAGGGTGATGGTGGCACAAGGAGTACAGTATTTATGACACGTGGCTTCCGTGGGACCATATGCGTACGGTAATTAACAGCACTCGCAATCACCGGCGGTGTCGTAATTGATGCGATGGTGGCTTGCCAATCCTCGTCCGAGTCGTTAATTGCCGCGATTTCGTCATCTGTGTTGGATGCTGGTGTGACGGTTGCTCGGCGGACAAAGCAATTACGTCGGAGAAACTGAGAGATTGCTCCGGACGCGAATTGCCGAGCACGCAGCAGCAGTAGGACGAGGAGACGCTAGCACCCAAGTGGCGGCTCATTCGACGGAACCAGGCCATATTTCCAAGTTTCAAGAGACCGAAATCCTCGCAAGGGATCAAAACCACGTGAGCCGAGAGCTGCTCGAGTCATGGTTCTTAGGCCCGTAACCCATCATCAAGCACAATGACCTCCCGTTACGGTATTCCGTGCTGAGATTTTCCCTGGGCAGGAGAATCAGTCACGTGGGGGGAGCGCGGGCGAGTTCTCTCGTTTCCATCATCAGGGCTTTTTCTGCTGGTCTCAATTTGTTCAGCCGTGTCACCTGACTCCTATTGTAACCGTGCCTGACGCATGTAATTTGGCCTGCCTGTTGGCTGTTGACTGGTTCTGACCTCTCCGATTTCGTCCATTGACGGACCTTCGTTGCATGTGTGCCCTTCGCGGCTCTCGTCGTTGACGGTAGGTCAGTGTGCTTATCAGCCTTCCCTCTCGTCGGACTCTGGACTGACCAACTGCTACTGCACGCGCGTTATGTTTTCGGCCTCGCGAGTAGGCGGGCTTTCAGGTAAAATCAGTTGGAGTCTGCTCACACTACACTGAGACAGAATTACCCATCGTCTGCCTCACCTACAGTGCGTGACCTATCTCATGAGATCTGATAATGAAATCTGATGAGAGAATTTCTGGACGCCATTAACGTTGAGCATTTTGTTCGCTCACCCACGTCCTTCAACAAAATGTCCTTTTCTTGTGCAGAAATTGTGTTTACTTAATCATATCAAGTAAAATATCAGTATATTTTGGCGAAAATGGACTTTGGAATATATTCGTGTAATTTCCTATGCTAATACATGTCCTAGACTCCGGTTACGCATCTGAGCAACTTTTTCATTGAAGGATAGTAATTTAACCGCGAGAGTTCTAATAAACAGATTTAGCCGAACTTGAAAATTTATTTTATGTCCTATGTTAACCG